CGTGGGTCGCCCCGGCGGGCGGCAGTCCCGCCTCTTGGCTCGCGGCGAAGCGCGGCCTGGGGCCTGTATGCCCGGGAGGCGCCCGGGGAGGGCTTTTCGGTAGCCGTTTAGCGCTCACGACGGGTGAACCGAGGCCGTGTCTCGCCCTGGATCCGCCGCAGCGCGGCTGGCGGCTCGGGGCCTCGGATCGGGAGACGTTCCGCGGGGCTCGGCAGGCGGCGGGTGCCGGCGTCCTGGGGTGCCGTGTGGCGCTGCCTTCCGCCCGGCAAGCCGGCAGCCCTGCAAATGAGACACCCGGGGACGAGAAAAAACGAGAGCTCTCGGGACCTTACGGCAGCCTAGTTCGCAGTCAGAAACCTCTCCGGGTTAAAAACTGCTGACTGACTTTAATTGGCCTTTCGTGTTTGCCGGAGAAGGCGCGAGAGCGATTTTTGCAGCGCTGTTACTCGCCAAGCTGTTTCCCAGTACACTGCAGCGTCCCTCATGAAGCACGCTGCTGTAGAATTACCTAGAGGCTGTTCATGAATGTCAAACTTGGTCTGGCTTCAATATCCAGTTTTGAAATACTTTTGCTCTCAAGAAATGTAAGTAATGCTGCTGAATATTTGATTTAATAAAAGCCAAATGTAGCTTCTCTTTAACCGACCTACTTTTGAATGTGACTGTCATCTGAATGCTGTTCTATTTTATCCACTTAGCACCGGTGTTTTTTATACACGGTGAGCTCTTCCTAAATAACGAATGAGAGAATGAACTCCGGAATAGAAGAGTTGCTCAACAGGACGGCTATGTTAAAGGCTCTAGTCACGCATTCAGCATTTCCGGAAGAACATTTATTTTTAGAGAATATTTTTTTAATCGCGTAGTATTCTAAACTGGTGCTTTAAACTTCGTTTTAAAAACACTTCTGAAACTTTGTACTAGAAATAGACTTCCTACCAAGAAGCATCTTTGAAAAAAATAGCATATGATCACATACCTAAGGTGGTTACAATAATGTTGAAATACAAATAAACGCTTTCCTGGTTTCTTAGCATCTTTAACATTCTTTTAATACATGTTGTTATCTAATTTAGTAACGTGCAGTTCAACATTAGCTAAAGTATAGGCTGTTCCAGTTAATCCTGTTCCCTAGAGATCTCCAGAATCTAGAGACAGTCAGTAAGCAGATCTAGTGCAGCGCCGGAGCAGGGCTGGAGTGCCCACGTCTGAGCTCTGAAGCGGTGTGGGTCACTACCACGGCTTTTGGTAGGAAGATGGGAAGGCGCCACACAGGCTATTGTTAGTGTGGGTTGTGTGCAAGGTGGAAAGGACAGTCCAAGTGTCGGAAACCAGCAGGGGTTTATTTGAGGAATCGATGAGATTCCATCTACTATGGAAAGAATGCTCACACTAATCTTTTTATTTAGTCACTTAAGAGCAAAATTGCATTTTAAAGTCATGTTTGATTTTTAAACAATAAGTAGTAGTGAAAAGATGCTAAGATTTTTGCATTGCATTTCTTCATTTTGCAGAAGGGCACACAGTAAACCCCAGTTCTGCTCTGCTGATCCTCAAGGTGGCTATCTATACACAGCAGCTGCATTTTCCTCCATTTGTAGAGCTAGCTGCCTTTTATGCTACTACAAAACGCATTAGCATGCCTGCTATAAATCCTGTTAACCCAAGTTCCATTACGCTCACATTTTGGGTATAAATAAATTGCACATGGAACATGACTATAAGTATTAGCCTAAGTACACCATAATTATATTTGAGAAGAAAAGGGGACAGACACGTTATAAGAATAAAATAACCAGAATACTAGATAGGAATGACTACATGTGGTATACCTAATTACTCAAAACCAAATATTTAAAAATATTTTTCTAGTCCATGTAATTATGTACTTAACCCTCTGATTTCAGCAGGAAAAATGACCAACATAGACCATTTAGAAAGTCTGTCATTCTACAGACAGAATAGTGCTTGTGAAATCGAACCCAAGTTAATATCCTATTGACCCACTGGGCTTGCATTACAGCTCTGTGTCACCGACAGACCACAGATGAAAGGCAGGCCAAGACTGTTGTTTACTCTAAAGCTCCTTCATACTCCTTTAGAAGTATAAAGGAGTTGTAGATAACAGGGCTTTGGCAGCATAAAATGGGCCTGTTAAGTTTCTTTCATGTTGAAAACCCTGTCAGTAACACCAGCACGAGATACTTGCCATCAAACAGCAAATTATTTCTTTAAACCACACTCTTGTTAAGAGAGACATGTTTTGTAATAATGAAGTATGGTAAACAAATTCCGCTTTCAAATGACTTAACACTATACAATTAAACAGTATATAAATAACATGGAACAGAATTTTGTTCTGTGCCAGGATAGGAGTATGGTATTCATTTATCACAGCATCACCCCAGAAGTGCAGAATATTTATGCAGAACAGCTGAATTTTTCTGCTACTTCAAACATGGAAAAGGTAGGTATTTATCCAGCTGCATTAAAAAAAGAGAGGAAAGGTTCTTGTAGAAGCATCAAAGACAACATTACAGCACCTTCTAAATATGAGTTATGTGATAAAAGGGGGCTTGGATAAATATATTACGTATTTCTGCCTCCTCTTGTTTTTTCTCATTATCTACAGTTCTAATGAATGATTTGGTAAATACGATTTAGTTACATAGTTTAGGGCCTGAGAGGGAAAAGCAGCACAGGCTCTATGAGGTTGCCTGAAGCTGTGTTCCTTGGGACAGAAGGTTGAGAGTATTTTGTATTGGGGATAATTACAGCCACATTCTTTAACAAGAATAAGACCTTGCTGTGCCTATAATAAAATGTCAATAAAATCTGGCAGTAAACTGCAGTTTGTATATAACATTGGTTTATCTCACAATTTTTCAAGCTGATACCAGCTTTGTATTCTATGGTTAAATATTGTGTCTGTCTGGGTTTATGTAACCTATCTGATTGGGAAAATGTGAACTGCCTAAATCAGGGTATAAATCGAGGCAGGATGTTTTACACTATTGCAGCAGTCCCTTCTGGTTCTTTAACTATCAAAAGCACAAACACGGTCTTTCAATACAGGCATCCTTAACATGGCATCGCAGGGCTAGCTCATCTGGTGGCTGGTTACCAAGTTTTAGACATAAACTTTCAGGTTAGTTTTCCCAAAATGAGCCCTTTCATCTTAAATCGGCATGGGGGACCTAACTCCTGTGACAACCACTTTTATGCACTGCAGTGTTACGATTTTAACCTTGCCTTGTTCCTATGTTACTGCAGAGCACTCTTCTTCCATATCCCTTGGTAGATGCATTTTAACACTGTGCTCTTTATGTATGCCAGACAAAGTCAGTGCTTTCACAGAATACAAACTCCGAGTGAGCCAGTGCATGAGGATCCCTTTTCCATCATTGACTATGACAGAACATGCTTTTCCATTAAAATTTACCACAGTTTTATGAATAGTCAGATAAATTGATGGTGTAAGTGCACTTGCCCATCTCAGAATGGTATGCTGCCATTGTGAAAATTCCCCTTTTCCACTGCTTAACCCTTTACACAGTATTTGACTGTTGGAAGTGGAACTGAGAATATAAAAAGAAAGATACTAGTTATGCATTCCGCTAGCAAACACCACTGTATTCCGTACACTTTTTTTGAATGTGCTAATCAAGTAGACATTTAGGAAAGTAAAATGCTGCCAGGTAACAACACTGGGTCCCAGTGAAGGGCCAGGGGCTGTCTGGACCAAACCCAAGCTCATGGGAGCAGGATGAGGAGGAGCAGCCTGCTAAACCCGCTGTGGGTGTCATGGCTTCTGGGCTCGAGGAACCCGTTCAAGAACCAGCAGTGACTGTTACAGCTGGCTCTGCTGAGGCAGGCAGAATTCTTGCAGAACGCCCTTGATTTGTAAATTATTTCATATCAGTCAGCCATGCTCATAATAACAGATTTCACTTTTTTTTAATCATCCAGGTTAATTTGACTAGGACTTACTTATTCTGAAATAATTGAAAGAAGAGGTCATACTTAATATACTGAAAAATATACTTTCCTCTTTTCTTTTAGCTTTATCAAGAGCGGGACAATAGCACTAAGCATCACAAAATAATACATTGCTTTTTGGCAACACATAAATTAACAGATTAAGAATTCAAAGCTTAGATACATCTGTGAACTGTCAGCGTGAGTGAAATGCGCTCAAATCCCCCTTGGTTTTTGCTCACAATTGTAACCAAACCCATAAATCTAACTTTAAAGGACTGAGACTTGAGCCAGAAACCCATGCCTTGTCTACACTTAAAAGGCTTGGCTGGTATAGCTACACCTTAGAGCTGTATTGGCAAGCACAGATTTCTTTTCTGGTGTAACTTAAATCACTTTCTGCATGGAACATGCTAAACTGGCTAAAGGACTCTGCCAATATAACGGCATCTACACTAGGGCTTTTGCCAGTATGGCTGTAGCTGCATGGGAGTGATTTTTCATCATTCTGACAGCTATTTTGGCAAAACTTCTACATTTAGACTGAGTCCAAGTTAAAGTTGGCATTGTTTTATGTTGCAAATAAAGCAGAAGAGAAGCATTGCCAGTTTATGGCCTTGGTTTTACATTATTTTAAATTGTTTGCTCTAAAGGAATGTATGGGGCAGGATCCACGTGGTCCTTTGGATGTTTGCCTCCCACATTTGTGCTGCATTAAAATCGCTTGGTTTTTCAGTGAGCGAGCTTTGGCAATGGGGAAACTTACATTACTAAAAAAAGATAGCATCTATATTATTTACCCCAGAAATAGCTATCCTGATGCTTTAAAGCAAATTTCCAAAGTTAAGTGAACTGCAAAAGGAAGCATCTGGGCCAAAGGACATGTGGATTAATGCGTCATTCTTTTCCACTTTGTCCTCAGTTCAACAAAGAATGTAAGCACAGGATTAATTTTAGGCACACACATCAGCCCATTTCAAGTTTAGTAGTCATGTCAGATATGATAATGCTCCTTTTTGAACTTTAATTAAGCAGATATTTGAAATTAATCATATGTTTAAGCACTGTGCAGAATCGGGATTTCTTTCAGAAGTGCAAGTTTACATAGAGTGAGGCTATTTATTGTGGTACCATCTGCAATTTCTTTTCTGAACTGCATGTATTTTAAAGATGTCCCAAGGGGCATATTTTTCCACATAAGTACATTTACATCTTTGGCTCTTGTTTCCTAATCTCTCTTTTGCTAAGTGTGTATTTTTGGTTTGAGAAATCCATGCAGAGTTTTCACTGATTTTGTAATTGTATTTACTGTTGAACTCTTCCCTCTGCCACACTTTGCGTTTGCACAGTACATGTGCAAATCCTGACACTCAGATTTGCAAACCTGCCCTTGCTGCTGGAGCTGCACTGCGGACAACAGGCCGTGCCTCGCCCGCAGACAGCACAAGGGCTGTTCGAGGCAGATAGGAAATTTCATGCGTAATCAGTCAGCACTGAACCAGTGAGCCAATTGGATGAGGAAGTCTGATTTAATCAAGGGTTCTTCCTTCCTTTTTGTAAAACACAGAATGTGCCTGTTAGAAGAAAACACAGACATATTTTTCTGTGTTTTGAAAATGCGAAGCAGGCTTTTCATGACTTCGTACAGACTACACAAGCACCACAACTAAAAGCTCTTCAGCAGTTTCCAGGTGAGTATTCCGTGCACTTCAGTTTCTGGTGTTACTTACAACTCAATGAAGCAGTTGGAGTGGCATTTACCCTGAAACGGAACAGGATAAGCGTCTGTTTGAAGTAAAATTGTGTAATTTGTTGCAGGGGTTTTGTATTGGTTTGGATTTTTTTAATATGTAAAAATAAATAGTAGCTTAGTTAAAAGAGCTTACAATTATTTTTAGCTGTGAAAATGAAACTGTTTATATGAAGCACAGATAGATTTCAAGGCAGACATATTCAAGGCAGAAGACTTGTATATCATAACGTTCACTTCTGCATTCTTCTATTTGCAAGTGTGTTGTGTTTCTCTGGTAAGTCATGTTTTAAAGTGGTATTTTTCTATATACACACATATATATACATATGTATAAAAAGTTATATATAAGGATATATATCTTGAATGTGAATACAATTTTGCTTATAAGATTATACCAACTCACAACCAAGAAAAAAGTTGTCACGTAAATTTGTTCGGCCATTTTCAGATTCCTCATTTAATCTACTGTATTTGAGATTATCTTTACATCAAAAACAAATATTTGCAAGTTTATGCTCTTGGGATAAACTGTCATGATTTTCAAAAGACTGAGCAGTTAGACAGTAAGTAGGTGGCTAATCTTCATGTTCAAAAAGCAGATCTTAAGGAGGACTAGGAGAACAGTGAGAACTTCCACCTCCTAGTCCGAAGTCCAAAAATAATGATGCTTTTATTAAGGAGGGTGGCAATGTGTATCTACGTGTTTATCCAAGCCAGGCAAAGGAAGGGTTTCTGTTAGAGGAAAGTGGTTTGCACTTCCATTATTTCCAGTGGGGAAAGTAATTGCTTTTCTTTTTATAGCCTTGCAGTTTGCCAGAAATCAATAGGTCTGCTGAAGGAGATTCCTCACCTCTGTATCCAGCGTCACATAACTGTGTGGTAGACAAGTGGAGGCAAAATGATATGTAGTAACATCCCTGTCCTAAACCCTCTCATTACTTAATAACCACTGTTTGGGCATTATTTTTACATTTGTAGCAGGGAGACTTGTTTGTTTTTTTTTAAAGTAGGTTGTTCTGTTATTTGCTTTTCACCCGTTGGCTGAATTGTGAGCAACACTTCTCTCATGCTAACTAGCAGAACACAGCACACTGGCAAAGTTGTTAGGATGCTCTTAGAACTTTTTCAACTGCTAGTATAACACAATGATGTAACAGGTAGGATTTGAAAAAAAAAAACCAACACATTCTGGGGAGATATTTATGTGGCAGAATGGCCAATCTGGTCTATGGAGTAGGAGTATATTGTGTTAGGCATTTTACCAGCATGTGGTAAAATAGTAGTCCTAGCAGAACAGGCATACAGATCTACTACAAGCACAGTATATAGGTTAAAAAGACAAGTAAAGGGAGAATGCTTCTGTACAACAATTAGAAAACTCCTTTCTCCTTCCACCTAGCCATTGCCAAATTCAGTTGTTTTGTTCTCACGGTACAGAGACAAGTCTCTGGAGAGAACTTGAAACTATGAAATATGACGAAAGTATTATACTATTTTAGATATCGCCCTATTTTGCCCTAAAAGTTGTGATTAAGAACAGATGGCAGGTTTTGGAGTCCTGAGAACTGTAAATTCTAGCAGTATAAGAGAGCCAGGCTGCTAGTTGTACTAATTATCTCCAAGATTTTAGTTCATCTGAACTCATACTTGCAAGCTTGAGGGCAAAATACAAGGCGAAAAAATCTGCCCCCACTGAAGTTTATGACAAAATTCTCAGATAAGAATGGAGTTCCTCATCTAATCTTGTTCAACATAACTTCTTATGGTTTTCATGTTTGATTTTAATCTGCCAAAAAGATATTCAAACACTTTCAGTGGTAATGGTAATAGGAATGGTTCTTCACTGGTAGCTATGTAGATATTTCTATTTATTACTTTATTTTTTATGAAACTATGGTTGCCCTCATACAAGTTCACAGAGAACAATGAGTAAGTCAATAAAAAAGATTACCAGACTGGATCCTCTAAAGGCATGTTACTAAGAAATGTCGTATTTTTTGTAATCTTTCAGTGATAGCTTGCAATGGACCAAGACTTACACTGCACAGCAGAAAGGGAACTGTTGGAAGCTGTAAGCAGGATTACTACATTTTCTACCACAAGTCCATCTGATGAAGAACAAAATCAACTCAAAGCTGAAATTTCATGTCAAGTGAGAAAAGAAAATCCAGAAAAAGATGACCTGCAAGGTTGATGCTATCCTTTAATTTTATTTTTCATGTAGCTTATTTATGCCATTAATCTTTTAAGCAAAAAACTTTGCTTTATTTATTGCAGCAGTAGTCCAGATTTACACTGCTATACTCCACGGAAAATAAGCCTTGATTAAACCTGTAGTAATCATGTAGCAATAGTGAAACAGATGCACATCCTGGTGTGTATATATACACAGAGAGTTTTCATTTTAAATCCATTGCGCCTAAAATGTATTCCAGATTTAATTTACACACCAGGGACCAAAACAGTGATCATCAGATGGCCTGTCTCAGGAGTGCACTTTCTGTACATCACAAAATCTGAACTTCTCGGCGGTACCAGCAAGGACACCAAGATTGAAGCTAATCTCAAGCAGTAGTCTCTCACATGCCTTATGAAGAGGCAGCATTGAACTTTTACTATGCCTAAGATTGCTGTCATCTGTTATTAAATAAAATGTTATATATAATCCAAAATAATATATAATCTCATCAAGATTTTCAGCCTGCAAAGATGTCATAAACACCACATCTCTTAGGAAATATATGCTCTGTGGAGATTGAGCCAAACCCCAGAGGCCTTGATAATTGAAACTGTATGGCCAAATGATTAAGAACATGTAAAAGTGGGGCCACTGAAGGAGTACTATGCGTTTACAATTTTCTTTCTGCATGTAGCTGTTATCTTCCCATTCGTTTGTGGTCATTCACCTCCATTGTCTGAATGTTTAGATACATTGCAGACTGACTTCAGCTGACTGCACTGACAGAGGCATTATTGATTGGAAATTGGGACTGGTGTGCCCACCAAAATACAAATATTCCATTTCTTTTATCCACTTTGCTAGCTTATATGCCACCTGATGAAAACTGTTGTCAGTAGATTTCAAAGGCAGAGAAATCACCCTTTTGAAAAGCTACATCAAATTCCCCTGTAAGCAAACTCTTCAACCAGCTGTCCTACATTTTTATATATGCATATGTATATATGTCTCTGTGTGTGTATGTGTATATGACTGTGAGGGGAGAGAGAAAGGAAGGGGGGTATATAAAATATTTGTAGCTGAACTGTGGCATCAGTTCAGCTACAAAAGAAAAAGAGGATGTGAGAATTCCTCCTTCAGCTGAGCTGATTATCCAAGTTTCTCCTTTAAGGTTAGGATATTCATGTTTTCTCAGCTTTCACCTGTTACTGCACAAACCCAATATTTGAATAGGGTCAGTATTTGAATATATGTCTGGATTTGCAGCTGCATTGTACTATCTCCTCATTTTAGCAACAAAGCCTGGAGAAACATCTGATTCAGAAGTCTGAGTTGGCGTTTCATAGGGCTACATCTGGGATGGTGAAGCATACCTCCTGCTCAGACTGTGCCCAAGGTTACAACCTAGACATACAATACTTCTTGTCAGTATTTTTTCTATAACTTTGTATTCTGCAGCCCACTTGGTGTCTTTCAAGATTTCAGACCACAATAGCTTTCCTCAAAGAATCTGAACCTGTCTTTATTAGCAGTGAAATTACTTATTTTATCAGTCTTTAGGTCTTGCTGTTACAGCAACAGAAATTCTAGGCTCTCCTTTCACAGTAAATGCATAAGAGTTTTCTTTCCAAAGGCAAAGGTTGTAATCTGAAATACTAAATATATTGTTTTTAGATTCCAATGCATCCCCACGTCCCAACTCTGCAATGACCACTAAGGAGCTTCAGGAATATTGGAGGAATGAAAAACGCCAGTGCAGACAAGTCAAACTCCTTTTCGAAATCCCATCAACCAGAATTGTAGAGCACCACTTATCTAAATATGTGGTAAGCTAAGAAATGAATATGTAAGAAGATCATTAATTTTTATTCACTCTACAGGGGTCTGCACAGCACACAGCATGCCTCATTACATGAAAGCCTTACCGAGGGCCAAGTTTTGCAAGCCATGATCGTACCAGGTAGAACCTGTTCTCCCATGGGCATAGCTGGTGGGATCTGCCCCTAAAAAAACCCTCTGACAATCAGTTCACAAAATATGCAGCAGTGGAAAAGTGATATCAAGTAAATTAGTAGCGTGAGTATCCTTAACACCCAGAGGCTCGTCAACATTAAGGAAATTCACACAGATATAAAAATACCAATATAGTTACACTTCCACTGAGCTAGCCTGCTGTAGCAGCTGCATTGCATTTGTATAACTTCCACATCAGAGATTTATGTTAGCACAAGTGCAAAATTCTTTGATGTTGACAAAGTCTAAGACATCCTCCAGCTAGATCGCTTGGGATCGTTCCCCTTTCTTACCTAGAGCTCCATTAGATGGCATATTTCTGTCATATTTTTGAGGTGAAACATGAGTATGAGGGACAGGAACAACAGAATGGGTTGAATTTTTATATCTTTACTCACAGTACTGAGGCTAGGTTTTTATTTCTGATTCTGCTCCTGGCCTTCAGGAGGACTGATCTAGAGCAAGTCTCAGTACTCCTGTGAAATTCAGATAGGGATGTTTTCCTTGTTTGCAACAACCTCTGAGATCTGTAGATAAAAAATGCTAAGAATCATACTAGTGTTGCTGATACTGGGTGATGCAGCTCGGTAGAATTTGAAGCAGGTAAATGTTCTGGAGACTGTCCTAAGATCTTGTTGCATGCTATACACACCTACTTAGATGATGCCATTCTTGCATACACTCAATAGTGTCCAGCTTGTTGAATAGTTAAAAATTATTTTAGTATAACTGTAGGAGAACAAGAGTATCGTGCAGTGTATGTGCAAGTAGTTAAACTTAGTCATAAGTACACGCCTAGGCCAAACGATTTACATTACAACAAAATTTAGCCAATTTGAATCGTAGTCTAATTAATTGGTTTCTTCCCTTTTTTATGCACACGCCACAAATAAAAAAACAAGTACTTGTAAATTATTCACTTAGCTGCCCTTGATAAAATGATAGCTTAAAAAATTGCTCTTATGATTGTTTTGGATATGCATCAGGCATATATACACTTTTCAGCAGGGAGCAGGACAAAGTATAGGAAAATGTCACAGTGCTTACAAATGAAAAGAGATCAGAGAAGTCAGCTCAAATTTAGAAACCTTTCAAGGAGCGCTTGTAAAGATCATTTATGAAGATTAAAAGAGAGAATTTCTCTTTAAGGAAAAACAAGGAAGATAATCAGACAGACACTAGTGCTAGTACTGGTTTGCACCCTTCAACAGCAGCAAAGAAAACTGGCATGAGTAGAACTGCTCCAGTTCCTGTATAATTCAATGGGAACAGGGTGAAGTTGAATGTGAACACGGTCATCGTCCAAAAGCCAGCAAGGTCAACAGTCCGTGTCCTTAGCTGGTGCACGGTGACACAGTTAAACTGGCCTCAGTGGAGCTCCACTGGTTTACACACATTAGGGATTTGGCCCTTCCTCAACATCATTGTGCTTGGATCAGGACCAGAAGAGAATCTATTTGTACAACGCATAACACAATTTTATTTTGCAGCTATTTTTCTAATATCACATTTATTATAGTCATTTTCAGGCTAGTGAAGAGCTGAGGAAGACATACTCTTGAGTACTGTTAATGTGGGACAGCGTTGCTGTTAGCTGTTGGTGAAGGATTTTGGATAGCAAACAGATTTTTGTAGAAATGTCACATTTTTTTGCATTATTTATATGCCAAGTAAGTTTGAATAACAAGACAATGATTTAGAGGGGAAAAAAGGCTTTGGACTTGCTCCATCTTATTTTTGCACACACCAAACATTACTGCCAAATACTCCCTCTTCTTTCACAGCATTAATAACACCCTCAAATCCCTAGAAATGTCCGATACAAACAACATTTCTGAGTATTACGACCAATGTAAAATAGATTACATTACAATATTAAGTCTGGGAAATCCATTCAGTTGACTGAAGATGATTGATTGCAGCAGCCATGGCTGTTAGAAACAAAGTACAGCTACAGAAATGCTTTGTAAGTGATTTTACGTGCTTCAGTCTAGTTCACCATTCCCAGCACCTTGCGGGATGGGATCTGTTAGTGTATTGTTTATCTACAACTTATTTACATACTAAGGCTAAGTCTGGTGACAAAAGTCCAAAACAGCAGAAGGTGGGAACTATTAATTTGATGGCTGCAGGTTTCAAAGATCAGGCCTACACTGAGCATGCACCATAATCTCTGGCAGCAACTAATTTAGCAGCACTGCTATAACCCATAGGAGTATACAAAATTACATGCATAAAATTGGTGCAGGAAGGTTTCGGCTGGTGGAATATACAAGCACAAAGTCTTTTCAAAGTAGTAACAGACTAAATCTGACTGCACTGGGGCTAGAATGTCCTTCTCATGCTTATTTTTCTGTTTTATTGTGCTTAGATGTATAAAATCATCATTTTGCAAACAGGGAGTTTTGACAGCAACAAGTCTGTAATTGAACGGCGTTACTCAGATTTTGAGAAACTGCACAGAAATCTGCTGGAGGAGTTTAGTGAAGAAATGGAAGAGGTGACCTTTCCCAAAAAAACTCTAACAGGGAACTTCACAGAAGAAATAATCAATGAGAGAAAATTAGCCTTCAAGGACTACTTGAGACTTCTATATTCTATGAAATATATCCGAAGATCAAAAAAATTTATTGACTTTTTAACAAGGCCGGAGCTTCAGGAAGCATATGGTTGCCTGCGGGGTGGCCAGTACACCAAAGCTTTGGAAATCCTTTTAGAAGTCATTGGTCTGCAGGAAAGGCTGACGAGAGGCAACCCTGCCTCAATTGTCCCTACTCTCTCTGCTATCGTGGTGTGCCACAAGGACCTAGAAAACCCAGCAAGTGCCTTTGAATATGGAGAAAAAGCTCTATCACGCCTTTGTGTGCATACCAGCCACAGGTATTATATTCCATTGTTAGAAACAATGATCGCTTTGGCGTATGAACTTGGCAAGGATTTTCTGTCTTTGCAAGAAAAACTGGAAGAATGGAAAGCAAAAAAAGATCCCATACGGGTTTTTACCCTGAAAGAACTTGCGGTTCGGGAGTATGTACAATGAACACAAGAAACAATTTCATTAAAGAGCAAAGCTGTCAGGTCCTTTTCCCAATCACAAACTCTTGCAAGGGTAAGAACTGGAAATTACCTGTTTGGCTAACATAACTTTATATTAATAGAAAAATTAAATTGCAAGAAAAACTGGAAGAATGGAAAGCAAAAAAAGATCCCATACGGGTTTTTACCCTGAAAGAACTTGCGGTTCGGGAGTATGTACAATGAACACAAGAAACAATTTCATTAAAGAGCAAAGCTGTCAGGTCCTTTTCCCAATCACAAACTCTTGCAAGGGTAAGAACTGGAAATTACCTGTTTGGCTAACATAACTTTATATTAATAGAAAAAAATTAAATATCTTTCATGTTCAAAAGGGACATTAACATTTATGTTGGAAAATATTGTATTTACTCTACAGGTATGAGGAGCACCTAAGCTTATTAAGGTTTTTGGACAGAAATTTGCAACAAAAAAATCATTTATGATTTGCTTATTTTGAACATAGCCTATTTTGTGTGAAAAGTCAGAGTAGGAAAATACAATGAATAAAGCACTTAAGAATCTGCAGAATCAGAGGCATTTCTTACTTATGTGGAAACTACTTCCTTTCAAGAAGAGAAATATCTTCTCAGTCAATGCAATCTAAAGGGTGCATCTTCAGACACTGAATATAGTTTTTTACTCCTCCAGCTGAAGCCTGGTCAGACAACACCTGCCATGTCTGAGAATAGGATTGGTCCTGTTCCTGCTGAAGTCAACTGCTGTGGGTGGGAGGACCTGGGGGGGAGGTTTACAATCAGCTTTGGTAGAAGCAAAAAATACAAGCAATGATCATTCCATCAGAGATGAGGGAATATGCTTCATTTCCCTTTTGTAGCTGATACAGTTTTATGACTTGCACTGAAGGCACATTCTTGTTTGGGGTGATCTTTAAGTACAGCTCTGACCGGGGTAGAAAATTCATACCACATGCGCTATATACATAATGGAAAGGAACCACAGAAGGGTGCTGTTGAGGAAAACATCTGGCTAATATAATGCTAGCATTTAATTCTGATTATCAAGCTGTGAGACACATGGTTAACAGACAGTCTGTGTTAAGCATGTGCTTCCCTGTTGCCTTTCAGAGGTTTATGTAAATTGGGTGTTGCCTTAGTTTTACAGCCTGGTACACCATGCAAATATCATCCTGGTGGCACTGTGATATTACAGCCAATTCTTTCAGGGATCCAACCCACATATACAAATACTAAGCTTGTCTTGGCCCTAACACTCCTCTGAAAGCTTCCTAAGAGCTGAAAAAGTCTCTATTTACCTGATTCTGTAATTTCCCTCAAGTCTATTATCTCTCCCATACACTTATTTTAATAATCTGGTAAATTAATTCTCATGAATATTGTAATTAACATGTCATGCTGGCATGGGTCATTATTCTCTGCTGAACATAGTCCACTGAGTACTTTCAGGCCTGCACTCCAGGTACAGATACTACATCAAACCAGAAGATGCAATGGACTTCGGCATCTCCCTCCTCTTCTACAGTCTTTACTACGGGGTGCTGGAGTGGGACTTTGCCAAGATGTGCGTGGATTACATGGCCTCGACAATCAGGATGAGTTAACGCCATGCTATCCCCCAGGCAAGAGTCCTGCCCCATTATGGGGGGGCCTGAAGTGTGTCAGTCACAGCAGTAGCTTTTGCCTCCCCCAAATGGGAAAGTGCATCAAACTGCCCCCTTGAGGAGGGGCTCCCTGAGGCTGCTGCCTTTCTCACTCTGCTCTCTCTGGTCCTACTACTGTGGTGGCTGGGCTGGGAGGTTTCTGACATAACAGAGTTGCTCCGAGATCCTTCCTTAAGAGCAAAGCCTCTGCAGGTGTCCCCTCATCCCCAGAAGAACAAGAAATGAGGAATGGAAGGATCTGTTCAGCCCCTCTAAACTCCTGACAAATATTTCTCTACCTGGGCCTTTAAAATCTCCAGTGCCAAAGAGCGCTCGTGTTTCTGGGACACGCTGCGGGTGCATTAACTCGTGACCTGTAGCCACCAGGGAAAGCTTCACACCACGGGCTTCTTTCTGCTGCTCGTACCCACTGCAGGTTGTGGTGTCCCTGTGGACAGAGGGCGTGTTCCTGTGTGCCTGCAGCAGTGGCCTAAAATCTGTAGCCCACTCATCTAGTACCAAAAAACCCTCCACACTACAAAAAAAATACGTGACCTAGGACACTGGTAGAGAAGGTCATGTTGCTTCTTTGCAGCAGCTCTTTAGGGTCTTGGGCTTTGTGTTTCCTCCTCTTCCTCCTCCCCAAGGAGGCTGCTGCCCCTTGGAGGTGCTGCCTGGCAGCACTGAGGAGCCCCAGCCCCTCACCAGCCACCTTCCACTCACACTGGGACACCTCAGCAGAGCTTGGGTCTCCCCCCACGTAGGCGGTGGGCACCCAGGACAGACCTGCAGCAGCCCAGGTGCAGCCTGAGGGCTCCGTTGGATGCTTGGAGTGAAGCTGTGCCAGGTCTCTGCCTGAGACATGTTTTGCCGATGATACTGATCTAGGAGGAGCTGTGGACTCCCTCGAGGGTAGAGAGGTCTTACAGAGAGATCTGGATATACTAGAGAGCTGAGCAATCACCAACCGTATGAAATTTAACAAGAGCAAGTCCTGAATTCTCCACCTAGGATGGGGTAATTCTGGTTATACATACAAATTGGGGAACGAGAGGCTGGAGAGCAGCCCCACCCAAAGAGATCTGGGGGTCTGGGTTGATGGCAAGCTGAATATGCGTCAAGTGCGCCCT